TGAGAAGAATAACTATAACTGATGCTATCACTCAATCCATGCTGTTACCTGTGAAGAATAACTATAACTGATGCTATCACTCAATCCATGCTGTTACCTGTGGAGAATAACTATAACTGACGCTATCACTCAATCCATGCTGTTACCTGTGAAGAATAACTATAACTGATGTTATCACTCAATCCATGCTGTTACCTGAGAAGAATAACTATAACTGATGCTATCACTCAATCCATGCTGTTACCTGAGAAGAATAACTATAACTGACGCTATCACTCAATCCATGCTGTTACCTGTGAAGAATAACTAAAGGATGCTACCACTCAATTCATGCTGTTACCTGAGAAGAATAACTATAACTGATGCTATCACTCAATCCATACTGTTACCTGTTGAGAATAAGTAAAGGATGGTATCACTCAATCCATGCTGTTACCTGTGGAGAATAACTATAACTGATGCTATCACTCAATCCATGCAGTTACCTGTGGAGAATAATTAAAGGATGCTATTACTCAATCCACTCAATCAGTGATCCAAAGAAATGTGACAGAATCATTAAACATTACAAAACGATAATTTCACAAACTGATACCTCGAAATTTAAACAGCTTGTATTCTGTTGATAATGTTCATCTAGAATTCAGTTGACAAGCCGAACTATCCTTTTCTATATTCATCGAAATAGTATCCGTGTATAATTCATTTGTGCTGTCGCGTGAGTTACCGCAGTTGTAACCTGAACTTCCAATAATCGTCTGCTTTTTATCAAAATGTACACAGGCGGGTTCATTTAGTTTAGAACACCCTTTGACGAGACAAATTATTCTCCTTATATCTTTCAAACTGTTAATTTTCACTCTAACATATCAACCGTTAGGCCATTCACAACCATAATGGTTAACTTTACGTTTTCTAACTTTTCTCTGACTGAACTTCTCTTTCGCATGACTTTACTTTTAGACTGTTTCCGCTCGTCTGGTCGCAGCTATTTATATGTCTATCACATAGGCCTTCTAGAAATATCAACATCAATGGATTGCAAACACAATGTTCGATAGCCTTGATAGCCGCGACATCAATTAATTACAAACACAAAATAAATCATTTAATAATACGATCTACACTAAACAGTCTTTTACATCTGACAATGACTTTCCATGTATTTCATTTAATAAATAAAAGCTTTATGGGATAACACATGATATTCGGGACATATTGTAACATTCTTTAAGTATTCAACATTTTTAGATAACCAATATTTCTTTATGTAACCAATATTACTTAACGAACCATACATTGATTATTTTGTCTCAATTACAACAAAAGAATTACATATAAATTGCTTTTTGTAAGTTTTAAGGAAAATAATCATACTGAAAGATTTTCTTTCAATAGAATCAATTCATGTAAGTTCAAACAGTTTTTGTTTTCATTTGTAGAATAACTAAAATAATAATAAACTCTACACGTTCATGTGTTTGTTTGTTTTTAGAGAGCTATGCCATATTGGGCTATCTGCTGTGTCCACTGCGAGGAATCGAACCCCGGATTTTATCACTGCAAGTCAGTAGACTTACTGCTGTTCCCCAGGGGACACTTTTGTGTGAACCTAACCTTTTGTCTTCCACGTGAATGAGAATTAGATATCAAGCCATTAAATTATAATAGTAATTAATTATAATTAAATTATATATTTCTAAGGACAATAATATGTTAGTACTGACCATTTGCAGTGTTTCAGTACTTGCACAGAAAACCAAGAAAACTAGTGGCATTGTATAATTATCAACTTCTGAAGTTTTAAGATAAAAATTAATATATATAAAACGTTTATTAGAAACATACTAAAATACAACAGCCTTAAGTTATACCTTTTTGTTCACTGTATCTTTTATTAGTTTTGTCATTTCAATGAGAATTAAAGTGATCCAAATATTTTACTTTTTTTTGCATATGATATACAAGCATACCATGTGTTTTCTACCTCTTTTTATTAATATAGAAATTTTTCTGATTTTTTATTTGTACAGGTATGTTCAGTCACTGTTGCTCTAGATCAGGGGTCACCAAACTACCGCCCGCGAGGTCAGTTCATCCGGCCCGCCGCTGCACTGTGTCACAAATGAGCTAAAATAAAATTATTTATATGGAAATATCATAGATTGTAGATAAACTTACTATGTAAAAAAAAATTAAAGTAAGTGTAAGTAAAAATGTACAAATTTGTCCAATCTGATTTTTGCATCTGACAGTAATATAAGTTTTAGGAACATCAGTGAAATAAAAAATTCGGCAAATTTGGATATCAGAGCATTTTTTGTGTAAGTACCTGCAATGAGAGTTCATTTCTGCAGTCGCCTCTGATAACTTAACTTCCAAGTATTTTTTCTTATTTTTTCTCCGTCTATTGAGAGATAACTGAACATCCAAGTATTTTTCCTTATTATTTGTTTCTCAATCTATTGAGAGATAACTCAACTTCCAAGTATTTTTGTTAATTTGTTCTCCATCTATTGAGAGATAATTAAACTTCCAAGTATTTTTCTTAATTTTTTCTCTAATCTATTGAGAGATAACTGAACTTCCAAGTATTTTTGTTAATTTGTTCTCCATCTATTGAGAGATGACTGAACTTCC